GCCACATGACATTTGCATAGTGCTACGGTTCAGTAAGCACTAATTGGTCATCGAGTCCGATGTTGACATAAAAAGGCGACAGTTCGACACACCGGATATACGTCACTCTCGTCTAAGTTCGACTTGGGAATTTTTTTTGTTCAATAATAAATGTGAATTCTTCTTCCTGGAAAAAATAAGACATCCCCTGAAAATAAGACCTAGCGCATTTTTCAGAGCAAAAATTAATATAAGACACTGTCTTATTTTCAGGGAAACACGGTATAAAAATTTCTGAGCATTAGGGTATTCAGATTAATGACAAGGCATTTCTTTTATTCTTAAAAATTTCTAAGAGGATAAAAGTAATTTATTTCAGAAAATACTCTTTACTTGTAGCCAGCTAGGTTACACTACTGAACACTGATAGTTGGCTATTGGTGCGTCTGGTACCATAAAATAGCTTTACCAGGAGCCACCGCTTTGTAAATTTTCACACGTGTTTCGTTGCCGTCTTCCATTACACCAAACCGAACGATTAAATGCTTTAAAAAATAAACTATCAAAGCAATTATTTCAACTTCCTAATATTGCAGGAACTTTCATCTAGCTCTTCTGGACTTTCAAGATGGATCTTTACTTCAACGTCCATCAGGCTTTCAAAATGAAAGACTAATTAATTATTTTACGATAATCCTTAAATTAAAAATAACGTTGGATCAGGGTCGTTGAGAAGGGAAGCGGGGAAGTTTTTCTCAAGTCCGGAGAAATAAAACAATAAAACAACATTAATTTATAGACGGATTATGACAAGTTCCTCGAAAATGATACCAAAAATAACAAACATTAATTTAAAAAGTTAACATGTTTATTACTCTGTGAGGGTATTTTCAATCAGGCAATTCGGAATACTGTATACAAAAGGATAAATATCAAACAGTGACAATAGGCTATATTTTTGATTTATTAACTGTTATGATGCGATTTTATTAAATATTTCTTCACAGTTTAGGTATACTGTATATGTATATGTATTGTAAAAAATAACAATGTAATAATCGGAATAAACACTTTAATTAGTAGCATTTAAAAGGTAGAAATTTTCGTAACATAACCATTATTGTTTAATATATTCTGCTATTTTATTCTAAATTTTAGGTCTTCAACCGATATATAAAAACTCCTAAGTTAAAAATTATACGAGAAAAATTTGATTTAAATACCTTGCAATGTCTGAATATTGCATTTACTAAACATTGAATTTTAATAATTGTTAAAAATACGTAAGACAGGCCATCGTACTTTTAATAATTATTAAAAATTAAATGTTAAATGTTTAGTATTTATGATATTCCGTATTGAATACAATATTTCAGTATAGAATTATAAATTCTATTCCATAATTACAAACATAGATGACGAAATCTTTAGGAGAAATATTACTGTTCAAGGATAACTCGAGTTGTTTAAGGTCGTTATAGAAGAACACAATGATATATAAAATAAGTAAAAAAAAAAATTAATATCTGAATATGGGATTCCGGAAGGAGAATTAAAGCATGGAAGAAGTCTATCAGCAAGATCAATCAAAATTCAGTAAAAAAAAAAATCAATAATTGAAGTCTTCCTTATAACAAAATTTTCCTAATGAATTTTATTTTTAGATATATTTACTGCTTTATCCAAAAATATCTTTTCTTTGCTTAAGTGATATGCACCGAGTAGACCACCAAAGATACGTATAGTTGTTTCAAACAAATTGACATCTTTGTTGATATTAAAATCTAATTTTTCTTGGACCCACTGTTTGGCTTCTTCAAATTCTAAAATGGAAAAAAATTAATTCTTTAATTATTATAGTTATAAATTTTGAATAATCTTATAAAATACTCACCTTCCCTTAGATCCATCATATACATCATATCTAATGAATCAATTAATGTTAAACCCACACCATACCAATTATGATAAGATTTACTAATTGGTTTTAGATGATCTTGTCCCCAAGCATATTCTTTGTATGCTTTCCATGCATGTTTAAATGCTCTAACAACAGCTTTCTGTTTTTCATTTATCTGATCTATAAAATAATTATCATCATCTTATAATATTTTAATGAAGTTTTATAGAGTTGAATTAGAATACTTACTTGATTCTCTAATATCTATAGGAGGAACAATTTGATTTATAGATTTCTCATCAATCTACACAAACAAAATATAAAATGTCAGTAATTTTTAAATATTAGCAAAATTATTTTATGTTATAAATAAATACCTGTACATTGACATTTTCTCTGTGTTCAATGGAAGGAATGAATATTTGGTTTCCCTTGGAATTCACCAATTTATTTGAGTTATGGGAAGGACTGTTTGGATCATAAGGAATGGCTGAGTGTTTTTTTGAAGATATTTCCGACAACAATGGTAGAAAAACTAAGATTGATAATGATGTGAACAAAACAAAGATACAGATAACATAACGTTGTAGACGAGACAATTNATTTTATACATTTAATTTGATAAATGGTCATACAAATTTTATTAAACATATCTACAGATATATCAATAATGGAAGTGGATATATATGAAATTTCTGTAAATTTGAAAAATGTTGTTTCTTAACACACAGATTTTGAACTGACATTCAAAAGCACAAAATGTTTATTAACATAAAGAACTGTCAATTCTAACTAAGGAATTAAAAAAAATTTTAATAAGAGTAATCTATGCAGAATAGTCGTTATTCAAAATTGTTACATTTAAACTTTATAATTTGTTAAGCAAGAAATTTCTCTTTCAGAGATATACAAAACTTACTTAATTTGATTGTTTCATGTAACTATATTAAATGCATAATATTAAATGCATATGACAAATTCAAAAAATTTTCTGACTGGTCTTAATTATAAATTTCATCTTTTCTTGAACTTTTTATGAATAATGCCTGTAACAAAGTATAAATTTTCTGATATTTATTATCTGTGCATGTAAATTTAAAACACTAATTGCACTACAGTAGAGCATCGATTATCCGAAAGTCAATTATTGGAAAGAATTCCAGTCGGCAAATTTAAATTTTTGCCAGTGCTGGGGCACTGCAATCTTTAGCTATGTCTTGGGCTACTCAAATATTTTACGTTTTTGATACTAAATTAACTTCTGAAGTATACATTTTTATTGTTTTTATATTTTTCAATATATTTATTTTGTTCGTACAAAATAAATTAATTTTGAACGATACAATAGTCACGACTATTATTTTAAAAAGTTTACGTTAGGCTTAACATCGACGAAAATTCAACGCAAAGCGACACGCAATGGAGAAAAATTTCAACATCGGATAGGTTAATATATTTTTTTGTATATAATCCGTTATCCAAAATATCGATTTTCTGAATAACCCCAGTCCCCAATTGATCCGGATAATCGACGCTCTACTGTATTTACAACCTGCTACTTTAAACACCATTAAATTCTATATAGTAATAAGCTATGAAATGATCATATACTAGATATAGTAGCTTTCACTTATTATAATCATGAATAATTTTGTATGTTAATATCAAAATTAGCAGGCTCCAAAACACAGAATTTAAATATATTATAAAATCTTTGTTTATTGTATTCAGAAGTAGGTTACTGTTATCATCATTTTTGAGTAAAGAAACTTTTTAAGCTCTCTCTCTTCATACTACCTGTCTCATAAATGGCTGATAACATGCAATTTTATTAATTCTTGTCATCAGTCTTAATCATTGCTTTAAATGTTAATCATTATTTGTTTTTCTAATCATATTATTTGCTCAAAATATACTAATTTAAATTGCTGACTTTATAATTTATTAAATCTTAAACTTAAACACTTTTATTTTATTGTTTCAATATGTTGTAATATCAGAGTCAATGAATCCAGGATTTCCTCTAATAGTACATCTACTCCACTTAATGTTATCAATTGGCTGTTTCCATCAGTTTAGGCTAATCTTAAAGGTGGTTGCAATAAGCAGAATCTATTGTATAACTAAAACTGAATTTGAATTTTTCTTTTTTAAGCAGCATTATAAAGAAGTCAGAGGATAATATACAATAAGAAATAAACATACCGGTCCTGCAATATTAGGATTATTTAACCGAGGATCTTCCCATTGCGTTATCCTGGTATCTGAAAAAAAAAATAAAATTTTTAACGTAACTACAAATATTAATCATTAATGATTTTCTAAGTAATTTCAATATGATGATAAATTTATAATTAATATATCAAAAAAAAATAATAATTAGTTCTATTTAAATTTAAAAATTTATTTACTTTTTTGAGAAAATTAAGTGCAAAAGAAAAACAATAAATTTTTCTTATTTTAAATACATAATTAAAAATTTTTCAAATAAATTCTTTATTACAATTTAAACTTTTTAAAATTTATTTTTAGTGATAAAATTATAATAAAATATCAATTCAAGGTTCATTTTTTACTTTATTTTCAAATGTGGCTATAAAAATTTTTAAATATAATTTTTATGAAAACAATAATATTCTATGCATTTCATACATTATGAAAAAACAAAAATGTATCACATGCCTTCCTTTCTGACTGTATCATTGTTTTAAATATTGCATCTTCATCATTTTTCATTTATTTATTTTTATTACATTTCATAAGTTTATATTAAAATTTAATAAAAATGAGCTTGTATTAAGAGATGAAAGGAAAATCTGTTCTTTTAAATAAAAAGTTAAGCATTATATTCATTAACTTACTATGATCAATAAAAAATATTCTGCCATCAGTATGTACACGTTCCTCCCATCCTTCCTATAAATTAAAAATAATAAAACATATATTTTATAAAAAAAAAAAAACACAATTTACTAAAAAACTAACACAGAGTTCATTAAAATTTTGGTGTCTTACTTATAAAAATTTTAATTTATTCTAAAATATTTTTAAAACTATGTAAATGCCAACTGATTAAAACTATCTACACATAATAAAATAATAATATGCACATTGCAAGAAAATTATACAAAAAAAAACTTATTGAAAAATTACGTAATGGATTATAATTAATTAATATTATTGGCATCACACATTGTAAAAATTACCAAATGCTGTTAAAATTATTAGATCCTGATAATTATTATGGTGTTGGTGGAGTATATCCTATAAAGCATACTTTATATACTAATGCCTAGATCAAATTCAAGGCATAACTATAGAAAACAAATGCTTTGTTTATATGCTGTTCATGTATATATCTGTGTTTAAGAATATCCTGACAATGTGACATGTATTTAATATGACAGCTTTCTGTAGTATGTAGTGATGTATGTGCTGTTGTGAAGCCTTAATACTTCAAGACTTGTGTAGCGTATATGGTATGATGTCTGTGCAAGAAAGATCTACTGGAACAATATGTAACTCACCCACTGTCCAAATGCACTTTATTTATTTGTGGACAATTTCTGAATATTTACTAATTTTTCAATCATGTATTACTAATATTTTGTATGTTATGGATGTTTAGAATAGCTATGTCTATAATGCATGTGATTGTTTTGTTTGTGAACAAATATGATGTCTGGTCTGTTGGAATGAATTTATCTGTAATTACAACTAAACCTCAAACAAAACCTTTTAAAATATGCAGCTGTTTTATTATCTATTTGAATGCTTTCTGTCATTTTTAATGACCTTCTTCAAGTACAAAAATCAAATGCTTCCAATTTTGTTCTTATCTGTGATTTTGGATATTTTATTTGTGTTGTTTTCTATGAATGTCTGAAGAGTGTAGTTGTAGTATGATTCCTGGATGCATAGTAGTTTTTTTTGACATATTATATTTGCTAATTGGGTATGCTGATAAAAGCAGTCAATTTGTGTTAAAAGCTTACAACCTGACATAATGCATTGTATAATCTTGTGCATGACATGGCATTTCCTAATGGTGTCTTCTGGGAGTGTCATGTCTTTTAAGATGTGCTTTCTGTAGTTTTTTTTTCTGGTCTTGTAAGGCAGTCATAAATCTCTTCATCTCTCCAAATTGGCATCCATACGTCAGCCAGAAATTTCATACAGTTTCATCAACCAGATACTGGCTGACATTGTTAGAATGCCTACTGTAGAGCAACTTCTGCCTGATGGTGTCTGTGCATTTTGTGCACTTGTCATATCCAGATCAGTGTTATTTAAGTTTAATGGTATACTGTTTTTGTCTACAAGAGTTATGACTTTGTGTAATTGCGATATTTCTTGTTTTCAATAGAAATATTCTTGCAGTGTCTGTATTTGTTTGTAGTCCCAAGTTTAAAATATCTGTAAGGCCTCATCCTTCCTCTTTACAATAAATAGTCAATCTTTCCATAGACAAATTAGGGTGGTGCTTGTTATCTTTTGTTAATGTTGCTTATGTTTTCTTTTAAAGTTATTCTGCTTCTGTTTGTCCAATTTGTATAACTCCAAATGAATATGTCAGTACTGAGACAACATATGTGTTGATTGCTTTAACAGTGTAATTTGTATTCAACCGTGTCGTTAGTATTAAGTTTAATATACTGCTATATTGTTTTGTTAATCTTTATTTTATTTCTGCATGTTCTAGGAGTTGGCCTGTTGGAATCTTAAATATCTTTAGATTTCACCTGCAAGCATGATTCAATGATACCTTCATTTCTGAGTACAAATTCATCTTTCTTCAAGATTCCTTTACCTATGTAAATTATTCTGCATTTGTCTAGACCAAACTCCACTGACAGTTATTGAATTGTCAGTGGAGTAAGTGACTGTGTATAACTTCTAATGTGTGATTTTGCTAGGCTTGTTCAGATGTGTAGAGTTTTATGTTGTTCATGTATAATCAGTCACAAAATATTTTTGGCATTGTGTGCTGAGATCAAAGATAAATTCCAGAAAATTATTTATTGATAGTTAAGTTATTAAGATGCACATTATCAATTTAGTGAATATAATTAACAAATTTAGTTATTTAAAAAATCCATCATAGGTTAATTACAATAAGAAAATATACACATTAATAAGCTGCATTCTGTCTCTGTCTATGATTATCATTACATTAAAAATATATTTATCTACTAATCACAGATTAATCATAAAATAAATCATTGCGTACATAAATGTCATATAAAGATGAAATTTTGCAGAAAAACTAATAGTCAATATAGTTCTGTTAGTTCTTAATTAAATCAATACTTAATTCAAATGAATACTTAGTAATGATACCAACAAAAACAGTAATAAAATGTTTAACTTACTGGTAACTGTCCAAGATCATCCACACTACTAAATGATGGCCTGTTGGGCACATTATTTTGATTGGGAAGAGGACTTGGTCTGCCAGTTCGAGGATCGACCTTCAGGAAAATTTTATAAATATACTGCATAAATATTTTTGAAATATTATAATTGATAAAAATTTTCATTCACAGAAATCAAAGCGCACACAAAAATTCATACATTTTAATAAAATAAAATAAATAAATATCAATATCTTAAATTTTATACTTATAAACAATTATCAAATTTACACATTATAAAGATTTACTTCTATGTTTTCTTATAATATAACTTATTAATTAAAAATATTAGTCAGTTTTAAGAAAAGAATTAATATTTCTTAAATCATATGCTTCTGTGTCCTTATCATATAGTTTAATATTTAAGATGTCTACTCAAACTTATTTTATTAATAAGACTTATTACACCGACGACTCGGTTCAGCAAATTTAAGAAAACTTATCAGAAAAAACAGTCTTTATTTACAGTCTGAACCAAGTCGTCAATATAATAAGTCCTATTAATAAAATAAGTCTGAGTAGACATCTTAAATACTAAATTAATATTTCTGTTCCATATTTTTCTATGAATTAACCTTTTTTAAATACAAGATAGATTAATATGCCATAATGCTTTTAGTTTTGTTATTAAGGATTTATTTGAATTTTTTCCTCCTACTATTTCAAACTATATATTAGTCCCGCTAAAAAATTTCTTGTTTAAATTTCATGCTAACAATGAAATAATATTTCAAAATACTAATACTACTCTTTTGTCTCCATTTTTAAAATTTACAGAATTTTTTTCAAGAGAAAATAAATTAAAAACTTCAATGACAATGCTGTATTTAACAATTCAATAATAAATTTCACAGAGTAATTTCAGAATGTGAAAATAATCTTCCTTGTAGACAAAAATATTAGTCTAATTTGTAAAAAAAATAGAAAGATGAAAAAATATGATAATGTTAAATGATCTATAATAATCAGTAATATCTATATTATTTAACCTAAATATTATATCTATTTTACACATTTTTATGTATAAAAGTCCATCAAAAGCATGAGAAAAATAATTTTTGAAAATTCTTTAATGAAATTTTTTATATGTAGTGGTCTTCAAGTAACTTTATAGAATTCATAGTATGTATTAAAAGTATTTAAAACTATACTTTTTTACATAACTGAATATAGTTTAGAAATGTTTACAACCCTTTTAATACAGAATGTTTTTCTTTTCTACACTTTTTTGCAATTTAATTTTTACTTTTTGAAGCATTTAAATCTAATTATTGAAATAAAATTAACTTTTTTTAACAAAGGTAAAATAGGATTTACATACATAATTATAAAAATGAAATACAAAGTCACTGATGTATTTACCCAAGTTGTTGTTTTTGTATTATGATCGATGAAAAACACTCTTCCATTTGGTGCTACTTGAAGTGACCATCCTGCAGGTAATCCATCAAGCGATAACTGAGCAGACAATTGCGATGATAACTCTGTAGGTGACTTAATAAATAAAAATGCAATAATTAAGTACAGATGTAGTGTAGTATAATGATTTACATGTTATATATTTTTAACATAAATTATAACTTATCAATAATATTTAAAAGAAAAAAAATTAAATAATCACAGAATTATTTAACTTTGTTAGTTAAATAATTATTTATATGTAGAATACATCACAAAATAAACACAAAACCCATCAATATCATTAAAGTTTGCACTAAATATTCAATAAATACAGATCTAAAGATCAATTTTATTCCTTATATTTAACTGATTAAATTTTCACATAACAATAATATTTATATGAAGATTTCTATGTGAATACTTTGAAATAAAAATAAAATTTCTTTGTGTTAATATAAATTTATTTTTTTTATACCTGTACAGGTGTTTCTTCTGGAATTTGAGATTCCATTTCACCATTGTCTGCACTAATGTGAAAACGCCGTTCAAATTCTCTTGCAGAATCTAAACTACGTTGCTGTACTTGTTCTTCTGTTGGTGAAATTCTACAGAATAATTTAAAACATCAATAGGTACAATAAATAGGTATTTTAGTATTTGAATAATCTACTTAAATAATAAAAAAATGTGAAAAAATGAATATGTACCTCTACGCACTTATCAATATACTATACTTGTATAAATAAAAATTAGAGATGATACAATAATGAATTCTGTAAATACAATTCAGATACTGATAATTTTCCAACCAATCCGATCCTGATACTTAATTTTATCTGTATTCTCTATGTGTCAATAAATGATAGCTCATTGATTTAGAGCAGGGAGTCACTAAACTTTTTTCACAATGGGCCACATAACTGAGAGAAGGACAAACAAGGGCCACATAACAATTTTGTTCAATAGAGTATACTAATACACAAAAAATAAAGACAACCAATATATTTATTTACCAATACACAAACATGATCGCTGCAGCAAGCTCGTAATCGCTTTTCTTAGAAACATCATTGTAGGTACTTACATAAAAAGCACTCAGATATCCAAACTCGCAAAAAGTCACCAAATTTTTTATTTCAGTAATTTTCCTAAATATTATATTACTGTCAGATGCAAAAATCAAATTGGACTAATTTTGGCATTTTTACTTTAACTTTTTCTACATGGTAAGTTTATCTACAGTCTATGATATTTCCATATAAATAATTATATTTTAGCTGATTTGTGACACAGTGCAGCAGCAGTGGACCAGATGAGCTGACCTTGCAGGTCGTAGTTTGGTGACCTCTGGTTTAGAGGATAACCATTTAAATTCAAATATAAAGAAATATAAGTCTATATACTGATTTGAAGCTCATTTCGGATCAGACCATTGACAACTGTAATTGTCTAGTTTGCCNGTATTAGACTTACGGTAGCTAATTTACATACTGTACAGACGATAGTTAGCATAAAATCTCCGTAGCGTAACGCTACGCGGCGGAAAATATATATATAATTATAATAAAGTTACAATAAATTAAGTTAATATATATTTATATATACAGTACCTAATTTATATATAATTTATATAATACTGTCCAGACGATAGAAATCTCTTCGTAGTGTGGCAGTACGGAGGGAAAGTAGTTCGGCTGCCCGATGACGTTTGAGGTAATTATAGGGGGCTTTTACTGGTTTTTACGGATACCGGTCACAATGTTTTCGTAGTTTTATAGGAATCGTAATTATAGGGACCGTAATTATAGGGGGTCGACTGTATGTTAGTTGTTCAACCCATTACTGACAGAGAAGGAAGTTTTTGAAAACAAAGTATTAAAAGGATTTTAAAAAATTAGCAGTTTATATATTGTACTTCACAGTGAAGAACCGGCAGAGTCTATTACTTTCACGGGAGAAATTAAACAAAGCTTTACTACCTGAATTTGAAAAATAATACACAAAAACTAATACAAAAATAATACACAAAATACTGGAACGGGAGCGAAGATGAAACACGACAACACCTTGTAATTTATGCTAATTACCTTCTAATAATTCTACCGTGAGTGTGCAATTTCTATTTGACTCCTCACGCGCGTGACAACGGGCTGGACTCTCGAAAACCACATCATGCATTTTTATTTTTTACATTTAAATGGCTATAACTCGTTAAAAATGAGTGAAGAATTAAATATTTATTAAATATTCGATTGTATCCATAGAATAGAAATGTAAAAGTAATATTTATTAATCTATTTAATAGGTTGACGCAATAAACATTATGATTGTGAATACGGGGGCGTAAGGCTCCCGTTCACTTGTCAGGATAATACGTCAGGTGAGTGAAAGGAGAGTTGCTTGGGGTCGACGATAAGGTGAAGGGCGAGATCGAGTAAAGGAGTCTACCATATTTTTAACTAATAAAAATAACAATTTATTAAAGAAGCAAAATGGACAAAAACTACACAAACAGCGTTTCTATACCGCTCTAGAGAGAGTTTCACAGTGCTTTCATACCTCTTATAGCCGTCCCCTTTGACGATTCTGAACGTGGATGCCTTTAAAATGTCGGTCCAAGGGAATAGGTAGTGATAATCTACAAATACGGCACAAATTACATATATCGCGACTTTAGCGATGCTTTAATTCGAGGTTCATCGGAGATCGGAATTCGGCGGGTCGTCTATCCGGCGTTTGTTCAGAGACTCCCCCCAAAGGGGGGAAGAACGGTGTTTAATCCGTTTTAGTGGGGAATTTCCACCACGTGATCGGATGTACATAGGTTAGGGGTTATAGGTGTTCCAGGGATCTACAACAAATGACGACATTTAGATGCTAACTGTAAACCTTCTTGCAAGATGAGATGCAAGTTCTGCAGAGAACAATAGATGTTGCTAGTTATGACCGGAAAGTTTACACAATCCCGGGCAAAATCGTTTTTTCTTCTAAAGCGTTACATAAACAAAAGTTTAATTAATTAACCTGTTTGTTAATAAACGAGCGATTTCCGTCACAAAAATTCCGGATCTCACATGATTTTTTTGAATGAAACCTAAATATTATAATTACAAATATTTTTGATTTCTGCTAAACTAAAAGCTTGACGTGACTTCTACGACCTTCAAATATACATGCAATATCGAGTATTATTTATAAATTAAGTTGGAGGAAAAATGCAGAATCTTCGAAAATATCTGAATTTCGTAAGTAACTGCGTGACACAAACAATATTATATTGAATAAATCATTATACGTTTAATATGCGAAGGAAAATGTTTAATTTAGCCTTGTTTACAGTAAATGAATTTGAAAAATAATACACAAAAACCAATACAAAAATAATACACAAAATACTGGAACGGGAGCGAAGATGAAACACGACAACACCTTGTAATTTATGCTAATTACCTTCTAATAATTCTACCGTGAGTGTGCAATTTCTATTTGACTCCTCACGCGCGTGACAACGGGCTGGACTCTCGAAAACCACGTCATGCATTTTTATTTTTTACATTTAAATGGCTATAACTCGTTAAAAATGAGTGAAGAATTAAATATTTATTAAATATTCGATTGTATCCATAGAATAGAAATGTAAAAGTAATATTTATTAATCTATTTAATAGGTTGACGCAATAAACATTATGATTGTGAATACGGGGGCGTAAGGCTCCCGTTCACTTGTCAGGATAATACGTCAGGTGAGTGAAAGGAGAGTTGCTTGGGGTCGACGATAAGGTGAAGGGCGAGATCGAGTAAAGGAGTCTACCATATTTTTAACTAATAAAAATAACAATTTATTAAAGAAGCAAAATGGACAAAAACTACACAAACAGCGTTTCTATACCGCTCTAGAGAGAGTTTCACAGTGCTTTCNCAGAGAGACTAAATTTTTAAAAGTATATGTTATTTCCGGTTCATTAAACAACTGCAATTTATATTGCTTTCACGTGTTATTACTTTAATTAATAACTATTACTTTTATATGTGTTTTCTGCGCTTATTAGCGTATAAGAATTATCTATATTTTTGTCAGTAATTAATAACGATTCATTGCAAACATATAAATTACATCCTTAATTAAATAAGTATTAAATGTTCTTTGAGAAATCAATATTTTTAATTATGTACTTCGGTAGAAAGAGCGTAATATAAACTTTTTACAACTAAATGAATTCAGGTTTATCAGTCAAAAGTCTTTCACAGACATTCCGATAGAAATACGGCGATGTAATCTCATATGTCTATCAAAAATTTCAAAGGAAAAAAATTATGATTAAAATTTGCAGCACGGCTTTGTAAAGATGTTGCAATAAATAAGTGCTCTCTTCATGTTCTTTTATGCAGCTAAAAAAGAATTATTTATATGGAGTTTTGTATTGGTTCAATATGTGGGATGAACTATGGAAGAAACTCCGTGAACAAAATTAATTATAGTAGAATATGACAAAATGGAAATTAAGTTTACAATACAACAAATAATAAAATATGTCTAGAAAGAAGTTACAGTCTACTCAGTTTTAATGTTTGTGATTAAATGTACGGGTCAAACATACTTCACCAAGGCACAAAATATAAATTTTCTAATATGACAGGAAGCTCTACAGTCCCCAACATCTACAGAAGGAAAAGAAAGATATGTGTTATATTATTAGCTCTAGTTTTATAATTATCTTTTTAATTAACACGCGCTGGCTCACATCTAATGAAAGAGATAATTTAAAGGAAACGTAAAAAAGCTCTATAGCATCAGAATAAAAAAGAAAAATATGTATTGTATGATATTTTAGAAATATAAGTATCCGGCCGAAATATCTGACAATCTTCTGATATGTTATCTTTTCGGTTTTATGGACACAGGCCAAATATATACTTCTACTAGAATATAAAAATAATGGAAAGAATAGAAATAATTATAGAAAAACAATGAGACGGTGGGAAAAATATTTTCTTAAATTTAAAATTAAACGAATTATTCTTATTTTATATCTTTATTTGGTTTTAACCATCACGCGCATCATGTTTATTCGAATAGAAATTGCAGACCCGTGGTCAAGAAAATTAAAAAAATAATTAATCGGATAAAGTATTTAATATAATATAGAAATCATTTGTGTGTAAATTCGTGGAAGTAAGTTGAAATCCTGTTTGTCATTGCATGAATGAATTTCTGAGAAAAAAATTATATACATATCAGCCGTGACACACAAATGAAATAACAGAATAATAAAAGAAAATGTTATTAGATCGCAGTAATATAAATAAATCGTTGTTGTGATTATACAGTTTTGGATTATTGGCTGCAATTTGAAAAAAAAATGAATATAACTATAAACCTATAAATTTCCACAGTCCGCTTTCTATCCGTTCGACTGTCTGTTTGTTAGTCATATTTTAATTTCGAAAACTGAGTTAGATAAATAAATGACGTAAGCAAACTTGCACGCACAGCATGAAACTTGAATACGGCAACGCTTTTGCCAGTTTTTTTGGAACGCCGTTTTAACATTAATTGCGAAATCTGTTCAAATTGGGCGAGTCATTACTTTTCAAAACAGTTCAGTCATTTGTCAATTTGAATTGCTGCCAAAGTAGCTTGCTGGCTTCGTTTCAATGATAAATGGTAATTATCTTACGAAAGTAAATATAAGAGTAAACAAATCTTTAAATATAAATTAAAATTTAAACTGCGTTTTCATAAAAAAAAAAAAATTATTTTATAAAATCAAACATATTATGTAATTTTTGTAAATTTTTCGATTATAAACAAATATTGATAGAAACACTGATAACAGGTAAAATAACAATCAGATGTCAACATTATTACTCCATACACAAAAGTATCATAAATTATCTACGCTTAATATTTAGAAAGTGCAATAAGATTATTATTTCCGGTAAATATATGTTTATAATTGGTCAAATTACATACTATGTGTCAAAATTAATTGATTACTGTTTCTATAGAATTACTAGTATATTACATTTATTATTTAATCCATTAATCATTAACAGAAAGGTAAGTATAAATAATAATAGACATAAACCTTATGATAAATCAAATCAAGTAGATTTAAACGATATCTTATTATTATATTGGTACGGTAAAAATTTTTAACAGACATTACTCTAACGTTAAATTAATAATAATCCTAACATAACTTTTCATTGCATTAAAATAGAAAATAATTTTAAAATGTCTTGCATCATCTTACGACTCCCAAAAATTAGTCTGATTCACCTATATGTACCTAACTACATACTAGAAATTATATAGCAAATTTTACATTGAAATTATCGAAAAGCAATCAATTTTTTCATTGTTTATTTCGTACATAATTCTGAATATTTTTATTTCAGAACGAACTGAAGAATATTCTAATGAAAATAATGCCAGAGAAGNTATATATATATAATTTAAGTATAGAAATGTACAAGTAATACTGAACGGGCATGTAAATTTTCGAGTGATAATAAATTAAAATAACTGAAGCTGATAAATAAATAACGATGAATATTAAAAATTAAAATTCGATAGTAGACGCCACATTAAATAATGAAATATATGGAAAAATTAATAATAACCCGTTACGGAAGTTAAAAAAAATTCCGTAACGTGTCACCTATGTTTCCCACCAACATTTGAAACTGCCATCTGTTATGATAATGTATTAAATTATTTTTTTAAATATAATTATTAATTTAGCGTAACTTTGATGATACGAAAAAGACTGTGTAATTAGGAAATAATAACCAGTCCGGCAATTGTTCGAGTCATTATTATTATCTACAGATTAATAAAAGGATAATTAAAAAAATATAAGGAAAACTATTTTCTTATAAATATATATCTAAAAAAATACTTAATTGCTGACATAAACAATAGACTACCAAATGCGGTCATACCAGGAAACCTTTACAAAAATGTTGTTTTATTTGTTTGATTAATACCGAATAATAATTTTTGTGTAATTATTATTCCACGCCTACAAGTAAAACCATTATACAACTGAACACGAAAATCCCTTAAACATAAGTAGAAAATGATTTTCCTGGTAAAGTTTGATTAATGACATTTTGGAAAAAAATGTGCATTTTCTGCCTGTAATAAAAACGACGTGTTGCTATAGAAATACAGACACGTTATCTGTTTACAGTCATAATATTACCAAAAAAGTAAGTAACGTTCTTACTCTGTTATTTAAAATTATAGTTTATTGATATTTGTCGTGTAGCTTTTTATAAACTAGATTTGTTGTTTCGTATGTAAATCGCCCATTCTATATTCGTACAGCTAGAAAAAATATCAGGCGGGGGCGTATAAAACGATCGAACATGTTGGGTCTCAGTTCGTCTCACAAAATTCAGTTTTTATTCTAAACTATAAAATTATAATGCTGAGTTGATCTTTATTTGATTCAAGAAAGCTTTCTGCTCTCTGTAAATTATCTCAAGTTAAATGAATTCACATCCTGTTTCTATTTTATTGAATAAAGGCAGGTTTTCTTTTTTACTGGGGGTTAGTAATAATTTATTACTTTATCGGGAATATATCAGTAAAGCCGCAACTGATCCGCTCTGCGGATTTCAACGAATAGCTAATTATTTTACTACATTAGAAACAAAAGCTTCTTTTCCCATTTATGATTCGGTCAAATTAGAATTTATTATTTTATTATACTTAGACAAACGTTGTATGTAAGATTTAACATTCAGTTTCTTCAGATCTCACGTCTTTAATCTTTTATTATGAGCCACATAGCCAGGCAGCTATTACAAATCAAAAATTAAATATTTAAGTTCAAAGACTAATGTCTTTGAAATCATTACAGAGAACACCAAAGTTTGATGCCGAGTGAATAAATACGTATTGCATGGAGTTCTAAATATTCGTAAATTTATCACATTTGCATGCATATGTTAATATCTTAATAACTAAAAAATTTCTCAGAATTCTATCAAATAAATGAATATGCAACAATGCCTGAATACGAAATAAAAATGTTTTGCAATTTGCAGAGTTTGTTTTATCAAAATTAATGATTATATTTTCGTCGCTTTGCAAAGGAAGAGGTCCACTTGCAAAGAACTGAAATTCATCTTTAATGTTTAGAAATTACGCGTTACTAATTTATTATTATTTTTCCTTTAACTGGAATATTCTGCTTCATTATGGAAGTGGGAAGTTTTCTATCTTCGTTTAATTTTGTTTCGTTAATTAAAGTTAATGAATTTAACTTCGTTTAATTCATTAACTATTTATATTAGATTAACTCATTGTTATTAAATTAAATTATAATTCACATTTTTAATTTCCTATAATGCGATTAATTAAAATTTCAAAGACAATTTTTTAGAAAGAGGAAAAATTAATAAATAAAAAATAATAGCGATTTCGCAATCAAACTTGAAACCTGCCTTTCTAGTTATTGTAAAGTGTGATTAACAATCGTTATCTGCTCAATGTAATTAATATATAGATAAAGTAGTAATATTGCTATTACCTTCTCAGGCTTTGTTATACAGGGTGTTTCATTTAACTTGAGACTGTGAAATATTTGAAACAAACCTTTATTATTTTGGAGGGTGCTGTTCAACCTCGCAAGATTTAACACCTTCTGCTGCTTGATAAGAGTGGGGGGAACTTTGTAAATACAAATGAATACCCTATTTTTCATAGAAAATTCGGATTTTACTTAAAAATTATGTAGGTTTTCTCAGAGACATTTTATCGAATCGTGGTATATGACTGTGTAATCAATGAAAATTTTTTCCACGTTTAATTGCATAACGATTCCTGAATAAAAGAAAAGTAATTTTGATACCCAACATGGTTTTTGAATCATTGCAGATTTTATTTGAAAAGGCAACTCCGAAAGTGAAAGTAAATAAGACACTTTCTTTTAAGACAGAATCATTATGCAATGATACACGGGAGTTTTTTTTTTGAAAAAAGACAACTAATTTTCGTCGATTAAAGTATCATCAGCAACTAATCGAAAAAAATGATTTAGTTACACCGTACATAACTTTTGACGTAGAATTGGAATCTGCGATGAAAAACAACAATTTTCATTTGAATTTACAACGTTGTTGCTTGTCACACCTACAGGTTGTAGAGGAAAGGTCTAAATTTTGCAAGGTTAAACTGTCTCCTTCCAAAATACTGAGTATTTGTTTGATACATGTTTTTGTACGAAGTGTACTTTTCGAGACATTTTGACAGTCTCAAGTGTAAAGAAAAACCCTTTATATAACAGAAGGAAAGTAGGGCGATCGGTGCAAAAACGACGCTAAGATTTTACATTTTTGGACTCAGGGTTCCGAACCTTTAGACATCGGTAAACAAAAATTTGGGGGTTTTCTGTACGTATGGATATTAGTATATATATATATATATATATGTTTGTGTGTGTGTGTGTGTGTTTTTTGTGTGTGAGCCATGAATTTGTTCATTCACTTTGAAGCTTAACTTCTTGGTTTTTTCAAAAGTTTCTAAAATTTTTAGAGAAGTTTTTGTTTTAAAAATATTAATCCCANTGTGTGTGTGTGTGTGTGTGTGTTTTTTGTGTGTGAGCCATGAATTTGTTCATTCACTTTGAAGCTTAACTTCTTGGTTTTTTCAAAAGTTTCTAAAATTTTTAGAGAAGTTTTTGTTTTAAAAATATTAATCCCATTAAATTTTGATAGTTAAAACATGACGAACATGACTGGATGCGATACGAAAGAAGATCACATGTCACATTTCGAGTAGGGTCAAATTTAATGACGATTGTACTCGTTATATCCATTTAATTTTTTTTAATAAAACTCATTCATACCTTCGAAATTCAGCGTTTTGTTTTTTTTTAATAATAATTTATAGTATAAAAAGTTTTTAATAACATAATGTCATAGAGAATGGCGCCACAAATATTGACAGGAATGTTAAGTAACTTCTTGCTGGATTTTTGTTTGACACTATCGATCTTGATCATCTCCTTTTTAAAAAATAAAAACTATGTTTAAGATGATATAGGCTACGTAAGTTCATAAAGTATTTCACAAAATGTAAATTTAAAACAGTAAAAATGAATTTTACCGTAAATTGAAAAAGAAATTTATGTATATTATTTTTTTCTCATAAACAGATGCATTAATTTGTCATATTTATTTTCAAATATATTTCTAAATTTGAACTTTATTAACTGTTTAAAAAATTCAGCAACATATTGGTGTTAACGTTCTCCGAATGGCTCAAAACTGCATGTGTAAACCGACTTTTTATAATATTTCATTTTAAAATGTTTCCTATTTTTAAATACATTAAAATAGCAAATAGCTTAATTTTAATGGTAGGGATTGGTTTTATAGAAAATTTTATATGCTAATATAACGTAAAACCTTTATATAAAAATCAAAATAAATATTATATCTATATCTATATCTGTATCTATATATATAAATGAACGTGTTTGTGCCTATATTTCACTCTGCAGCCAAAACTACACATCGCACATGAATGTTGTTTGTATGTAGTACCGCCAAGTCTCCCATCGTGCACTATGCTAGTTGTTTCTTGATAGCTATAAGGGTGTGAGAGATATGGGGTTTGATAGTGGTTGACTTAAAAAATGTGTTACGTTTCAATGAGAATGTTCCAGATTTTTCTAGAAAGTTTCAGAACCTAGAAGAGAAATTTGGTTCACAGTTAAGGTACGTTATGAAAATGCACACTAAGAAGAAATTTTTCGAATTTCCCTCTCGGGGGGAGTAGAGAGCATTAAGGCTTAACCGGAAGAACCGCTTCTACTGTACTATTTTAGATCTGATTTTTTGTTTTTAACTGCGTTCAGTCTTCATTGAGTACTTAGGAATAATAAATTGATAACATTTCAGATATTGTTATAACTATTTTTTATATATTTCGATTTTTTAACCAAATGTTCGAACCATTTTAAATTCGAATTTCTTTTTGCATATCGGTTCGATTATAGAAGAATTGTAAACGTTCCAGAAGATTTATCAAATTAAAAACAATTTGATATTCAGCAATTCTCACCATTCTCAGCGGTAGATGTTAAATAACAATTACTATGGTTGTTAAAGTATTGAATGTAAACAGGGTTTGCTTGCAAAATCCGCGAGCGAAGCCGCGGGAAACAGCTAGTAATATAAGTAAAATATAAATATATTGTCATAGGAACAACAGTTTTATTTAAATACATACGAAAGTTAAACCTACAAAGACTTTGTTTTCGCTTAACGGACAAGACATCGCGTATACTAAACCTCTTGCCTTATAAGCTTTAGAATGTAGAGAATAACAATAGTAATATTAATGCTAATGATATACGATAAAATAATAAACTTCCGAGAGCCAGACTTGATGTTGGAATTTTTAAAAATATTTTTGCCTTTCGAAAGTTAAATTAATTCAAATCCCAGCAAAAACGTAATTTTCTATTTAATTACCGGAGGATCGCATCTTTCTTCTCGGAGTCACGTCCTTTCCCAGAGGACTTATCGAATGTGTCATCGGGAACTAACTACAGATATTTACTATTGGTCGAAAATAGTAACGTGGCAAAAAGAGGGCATCGAAACCCACAGGGAAAGACCCTTGATATATTTGGATTGAATCAAGGACAAGAAAATTATCGGGAGTCCGAGAGTTTACAGACTCTGTTCCCTTTCTAAGAAAGTGTAATGTAACTGTGCTCCATCGCCGATCCCTTCAACCATAGACGCCTTAGCAACGACCATTTGATAGTGAACTGTACCACCAAGAAGACTAACTCTATCTAATCTAGCTGAAATTTTTGTATAAAGTCCAATAGATTAGGTTACGTTGTATCCATATTATGCAGTATGTTACGCTTTTAGGGCTCTTCTTTTTTGCCACTATATAATATTTAAACGAAATGTTATTATAACCATATGCGTAAATAGTTTAGAAGAATAAATGGGGATTATGTCTTTATAATTGAGTAGTAGTTCTTTCTGCCACATTGTCTCTCAAACCATCTCCATTACGGACCCCTTGTGTTTATACACGCAACCGCTCGCGCGGAAAAACCGAAACCGCAGCCAACGAGCTTGCTTTGTCTGCCTTAGAAGACAGAGGTTTCAGTCCTGACATAGGCACCACAGGTCTGGTGCAGACCGTTTGGTCACAAAATGATTTTCTTTTATACAAGAAAAAAATTAATATTGCAAGGTTTTGAACTTTCGTCGTGTATTTCACTTCCAAAGGTTTCATCCATTGAAGAGATACAAGGTGAACTGAAATTTTTGAAGTTTTATAAGCTAAACACCCAATTATCAGAGGCTTGTTTTCGGAAATGTATAAAAACTGAATCGTGCTATTTGGTCAAGGAACTGTTTATGTATAGAACTAAGTTTTCTTCTTACCACAGACGCAAACATCTTTTGAAAAATATTATCATCCCAATGTCGATATTTTTTTCTAAAAGCAAGAAGTAATAAGCTTATTCTACACTTTTTTTTTTAATTTTGAAATTTACATTACGTAAGTTCGATTACACAATGTATGTTTTTATACTTTTTACATTTTTGTGTGTAATCAAATGGCACAATTCACATTTTCGTAAAGAGCTAACTTCTGTCGCTTTACTATACGGGTAAATATAACCAGTCGCATACAACGCGTAATACTACATATTTTACTAGTATATAAAATTTTAACTGATGAAAATCAAAATGTAATTTAAAATATTAATTATAGTTTCATTGTTGTTTTCCAGATAGTTTGGTCAGGACTATTTTTGATAGTGAAGTGAATAATGAAGGTTGATTGTATAAGAAGAATCTTTTGCTATTTTTTCATGAAATTAGGAAATATGGTTGGACGCCATCCATATTATTTTGTCGTTTCACCAATAATTTTGTCTATGATTCTCTCGATATTTATCACGAAATTAACACCAAGTAAAAATTTTGAAGTAATATTAACTCCGGATACAGGAAAACTATTTAAAATTAAAAAATTCATTAAAGAAAACTTTTCATATAATTCAAGTCAATTTTCTGATCAGATGAGAATCCCCGATGTACCCAATTTTATAACAATACAAATATTAAAAAAAGATGAAGCAAATATGTTTGATAAAAGTACTCTTTCAGAAGTAAAACTGGTTGATAATATCATACAAAATATAACATTAGAAGCTGATGGAAAGTTAATACACTACGACGATGTGTGCGCACTTATGCACAAAAAATGCTTTGAAAATCCTATTATTGAGGTGATATCGGAAGTGGGAATAGACTCAATAGTTCAAAAGAGAAAGAAGCTGAAATATCCAATAGAAATAGATTACTTATCTTTCACTTATAAAGCCTATTTTATAAATTTAGGAGGTGTTACAGAAGATAATCAAAATTTTGTAGAAAAAGTTAATGCCATTCAGCTGATGTATGCAACCGATGTTAAAAATGAAGTGAAAAAGAAATTGTTCGATAAATGGTCCAACCGTGTTTATGAGGAAATTCAAAAATATCATTTTACATATGTCAAAGTTATCCCATACTCACCATTAGCAATAGAAAATGGTTTTCGTACAGAATTTGATAGAACAAAACCAAAGATAGGAGTTTTGGTCGCAATTATGATTGGTCTTTCGATGTTTCTCAACATGAGCAATAGTTGGGTCAGAAGTAAACCTCTTCTCGGTTTTGCAAGTGTGATAAATGCTGGTTTGGCCGTTGTATCGTCTTTTGGATTAATGGCAGCATCGGGTGTGGAAAATACTTACTGGAATGCGACTATTCCATTTTTAGTTCTTGGTAAGTAAGTCAGTTGTGCTGAAAATATACGAAAAAATTGTGTAATATATTATAAATTTTATTTATTTCAGTGACCGAGATTGACGACGCTTTCGTGTTAATAGGATGTTGGAGGATCACTAATCACGAACATACAGTTGAAAAACGGTTGGAAGCTACATATGTGGAAGCAGGAGTTTCCATCACACAAACTTCGCTCACAAATTTCATTTCGTATTGCATCGGAATGATGGCACCATTTCCTTTCATTAGAATCTTCAGTTATTACACGGCAACTTGCATAGTGTTCAATTTTGTATATCAGATAACGTTTTTCGGAGGATGTTTGGCATTGAGTGGTCACAGAGAAAAGGAAAAACTTCGTGATATAAAATTTGTGAGATATGGTAAGTTAAAATTACTTTTAAATTAGATGCTTTATATAAAAGATTTAATGTATTTCTGTGAACTTTGGTTAACTTCAAAGATCGTTAAATATATACAAGATATAGGCCTATATACAAATAAAAGAAAACGACGACCAATAACGGTATTCTCTAGAGGAAGCTCCATTGTCCTTGACAGCAGAGGTTTTATAAGTTTTTTGAGATCGATTAATTTCTAATTGGTCGGGCTTTTTCTTCCACGCTTTCCTATTGGTCCCTCATCTTTACTCTTTATTATGATCTTTATGGTATCATTTTTAAAATGCTTTCCCTTTTCTTTCCAGGCGATTTTGTTTTTGGCGGCATAATCTTCGAAAGATATTGAGCAAATTTAAAAATAATATAACAGATACGTTAGGTATTAACACCTATTTTCCTTATTCACTTTTTTAAACTCTAATCATTTATGTTATCTTAGTTAGTTTTTAATATAGTGTTAATCAAAATGTACTGTACATCATAAACGTAGCCGTATGTAGTCAAAGTCTCGTCCTTTTTTGATATGGCTCTGCTGCACTTCTCCAAAAATGCATCTATAACTTAAATTTTTTTTTTAACATTAGACTTTAAAACTTCACATTATATTATTTTCATGAAAATTTCCATCTTTTACATCTACATACGAAGCACGTCGGCATTGTAATTTCTCCCAGAAAATGCGAATACAGCATCGCCACAGCTTTAGTCATTTTTTACGTGTAGAAAATTGGGTTGTGCACAATCAACATACCACAAACAATCAACAAACAATAAATAACCTAAAAAGGTTATTTATTGTTTGTTGATTAATACGTTTATGAGAAAGGTAAAAATCAAAATAATAAATAACCTAGGAAAATTATTTATTATTTTAAATTTGAGACTTCTCATAAACGTAATAAGAACATCACAAAGAAATTTTAATTATTAGTTAGCAATTTTTATTATTAATATGCATTTCGGTGGCAAGGATTCTCTACAGACTTATTTAAATANAAAAAAAAAAAATTATTTTATAAAATCAAACATATTATGTAATTTTTGTAAATTTTTCGATTATAAACAAATATTGATAGAAACACTGATAACAGGTAAAATAACAATCAGATGTCAACATTATTACTCCATACACAAAAGTATCATAAATTATCTACGCTTAATATTTAGAAAGTGCAATAAGATTATTATTTCCGGTAAATATATGTTTATAATTGGTCAAATTACATACTATGTGTCAAAATTAATTGATTACTGTTTCTATAGAATTACTAGTATATTACATTTATTATTTAATCCATTAATCATTAACAGAAAGGTAAGTATAAATAATAATAGACATAAACCTTATGATAAATCAAATCAAGTAGATTTAAACGATATCTTATTATTATATTGGTACGGTAAAAATTTTTAACAAACATTACTCTAACGTTAAATTAATAATAATCCTAACATAACTTTTCATTGCATTAAAATAGAAAATAATTTTAAAATGTCTTGCATCATCTTACGACTCCCAAAAATTAGTCTGATTCACCTATATGTACCTAACTACATACTAGAAATTATATAGCAAATTTTACATTGAAATTATCGAAAAGCAATCAATTTTTTCATTGTTTATTTCGTACATAATTCTGAATATTTTTATTTCAGAACGAACTGAAGAATATTCTAATGAAAATAATGCCAGAGAAGAAGAATTTACTATGGCTCTGTTTAAAAATTTATTAGGAAAAATACTGTCGAATCCATTGGTGAAAATAATTATTATTATAATTTTTATTATTAATTTATCGTTAGGAATTCGCGGCACATTTTTCATAGAAGACGGTCTTAAATACGAACATTTTTTTGCAAAAGACTCTCTAATTACAGAAGGCATTAGAACAAATTTCAAGTATTTTACACGTTACTCATATCCTTTTCACATAATTATTAATGAAACGTTGGATTACTCAAACATAAAAACTCAAAAGTCGATAGAAACTCTGTTAAGAAAATTCGAAGAACATCCCAATATCGCTGGAGAAGAATTCACTGTATCCTGGATGAAATTCTACAAAGAATTTCAGAAAACTCCCGTAGCAAAATTTTCTTTACAAGGTTACAATATGTCAAATGAGCAAGACTTCATCGATGGGCTACGCAATGTATTTTTTAATATCAGAGCTGCCCAGTCATTTTCTAATGATGTCGTCTTCAACAGCAACAACACTAATATAATATACAGTAGGTTTTTTATTATGGGAAAAGAATTAAATTCGTCACAAACAGAAACAGATTTATTAAGAGATTTATTAAAAATTGCAGACGAATCCGACGTTGCTGTCCTAGTGCATTGTATTAAGTCAAGTGTAATTGAACAAGGAATCATCATTCGACAAATGATTTATCAATTGTTTTGGATCACTGCTGTACTGATTACGGCAACCTTTTTAATATTCGTACCGAGCATATTAGTCTCAATTGTTGTTGCAATATCTGTAGTATGTACAGTTGTCGAAACTTTAGGTTACATGTCTCTGTGGGGGGTCAACTTAGATATTATTTCAATGATGAGTCTTATTTTATGCGTGGGATTTAGCGTGAATTATCCTGCTCATATTTCGTACGCTTATTTCATGTCACATTGTAAAACAGCGAATGAAAAACTAAAAGACTCTCTGTATCGTTTAGGCTTTCCAATACTGCAAGGATCTATGACCACAGCATTAGGAATATTAATTTTATATTCTGATACATATTTTCTTTTGACATTTGTGAAAATTGTAATTCTTGTTGCTATGGAAACGGCTTTTCACGCGTTATTTTTTATTCCAGTCATTCTGTCGCTTGTTCTTGCTATTTTTTAAAACACGTAATTCGTTTCCTATTCTCTCGTAATTTGTGAAAAAAATTTATGGCATATTCAGGAATAGAGGATAAATAATCGGATAATATTCGAAAGATTTATTATTTACGTTAATTCCAATTTTATTTTGATACAAATTGTGAATAAAATTTACCAATTTTTTTCTGTGTTTAATTTTTACACATCAGTTGGGATATTGACGAATATCCGCTAACGCTGAAAATATGTAACAAGTTATTATTTAAAAGTAATACGAAAATACCTTAAAGTATTTACTATGTGTAAGCATTAAATATTTATTATTATAGTCAAAGGGATTTATTTAATTTCGAAACTCACTTTATTACAGGGTATTTTTTCTTAGGTAACTAGTAATCACTATTTAGATGTATTATATTGAGAACTTTTCTAATTGTGTATTTTTTATTGTTATTTTTCATATTTTCATGAATATTTGTTAAAGAATGAAAACAATATGTATTCATAATTTACGCAAAAGTGTATTTACCATGTAATTGTTTTTCTGGAACGCATGATGTAACTGTAAGCCCTGTCGTTATTCTATGAAATGAATGCTGTAATTGTTATCCTAATACAGTTGGAATCCTAACATTTTGAACATTAACAATTCTTATCCGTATTTCACAATGAAGCTCTTTCGATAGACATTAAGCTCTACATCCATTTCTATTTCGATGTTTCATTATACATTTGATTCTTTGTTCTGCAGAAGATTAAGAAATTATAATGTAAATTTATTATCTGTACTTTCCGCGATACTTAAACATGCTGTATATAAATTTTGAGTAGGTTTTGCCTAAGTGGACATTTGTAACTTATCAATTGTTATACCTGTACACGTGTATAGATCCAACCTGGCAGAGTCGGTCATGCTAACTATAGAGAATAAAATTAAAGCATAATCGAAAATTTTTTAAAGCTATGCAGATGACTGTTATATATTGTACAACGAGACAAATAAACTACGTAACGAGAAACTCAGTATGTCCTACAGATAATGAAGTAAAACTTGAATCACAGAAACAAACGAGTTCGAAACTAGTGTGTATTCATTTTACTATTGTTAAAAGAGAAATAAGTTTAGGTTATGAAAAATTTGTAAAACCGATAATAGTTCGAAAAATAATAAAGTTTTATCTGTGGCACCTGTTAATCTAAAAAGAAATGTCTTGAATTTGCAGACAGAAACTGTTTGTAATAGAATCCGATTTAAAAACAGGCAACACAAAGAAAGTGTATATGTAATAAATACGTTAAATGTTACACAAGAAGTCTATTAATCCAATAGTTTAGTTGTAGATATACAAATAATAAACCGAATATTTACTTTAATGTTGAATATATGAATAATACACAATCACAACTCGGGTTTCGAACAATCCGCTTCATAAATAAATTTTAAACACCATATTTGCGCTGGCTGCCGTACAAGGTACTATAGCTGGCCACAGATGGTCAACATTCCATACTTTCTACGTTAAAAATAGTCGACCGCCTGACCAATGAACGGTAGGACAACAGATTCAAAAGTTGGTCGTCTAACACCATTAGATTTAGATTTCACGACATGAATCACTAAAGATCTTGTCGGAATTATATTTCACGCTGACAGAATCGAGTCTCTATTTATAGCATTTGTTTGAATAGTGTTAATTTCGGTTTCGTGTTCGATTGCTTTCAATACATATACAGTAGACCCCCATATAACGCGATAGATACGTTCCACTTCATAAGAATTTCGCGTTGTAGAAATCCTTAAATACATGAGCCAATCACAGCGCGACACGTGTGAAGTTTACGGACTACAGCTGTTTGAAAGGATTTTAATTGTATTCCGTAAAATTAATCGATTCCAGACTAATTCGACAGAATATTTCCAAATACGTATGATTTTGTCGGAAATAATCCGTATAAATTATGCTATAAACAAAAAATTGTAGGATTACTCACCGAGTGTGCACCGTTCAACGTCGCCATTGCTTAAGCTTGTTTTCGTCGCGGAGTTGTGCACCAAACGGCAGCCGCGATTTCGGATAAGTTATTTTTCTGCAAAAATGTGTTGAACTTTGGAGACATCATTAATATAAATAATTTTTATGGCCTTTGAATGAGAAATGTTTCTTCCGCAAAAAATGTATAAAATTAGTACTGTATTAGACTTACGGTACCTAATTTATATACTGTACAGACGATAGTAAACTCAACTTACCCGTCTAAACTCTCCATAGCGTGTAAGTAGTTCGGCTGCTCGTCTACTATTAGTCCAGATTCGACCAATCCTGTAGCGACACGAGTCGGCGATGACGTTTTACCGCGTTTTACGCGTCCCTTCAGCGTCTTTATACGAATACCGTCGCAATTTTTTGCCCGTTATAGGAATCCGCATTATAGAAATCCGCGTTATTGGGGGTCTACTGTAGTCTGTATAGAAGTATTTTGCTTTTAATAAATATAACCAAACAATGGGTATGTTATGACCAAAGCCCAAACTTAGGTCAGTTCCCAAATTGGCTGGCCATTTCTTACTTTGGCCAGAGTCGGTAGATTAACTGGTCTTTAGACTAATAGTTCAAACTTAGCTAGAGACAATATTTGCCGCTAGTCGGCGCCACTGTTAGCAGGACATCGTTGTTCTTGCTAGGTATATACTGAAGTCAGTGATTTTGACCTATAATAATTGTTTTTTTAGCTACATAAAAATGCCAACGTGCTTTGTGCCAGGATGCAAGGCAGGATATAAGTCATCGAACGAGAAGAGACATTTNTGGTAACATTTGTCTCTAGTTGATTTTAGCAACGAGCGAAGATAGGAAGTCGAAAGACCAGTTAATCTACCGACTCTGCTTTGGCTAAAAGATGTGGCCAAGGTGTGATGTACTTGAAATGATCAATGTGTATGCTAATTTGCCCAGACATTTCGCGATGGAGCGACTAATTCATTGCCAAAATTCTTTGTGCACGTAATGACAGGATACCGAGCAGTGCCGAAGCGTATAAGTGAGCGTGATGATGACAGATACAACTCTCATTAGTTTCAATCAATTTTCCCGATTTATTGTATAATTTATGCTTACAAAAACAGTATCTTCTGTTCGAAAACGGAATGATGTGAATATTTAGATGACGATGGAGTTGTTGGGCGGTTGGACAATTGAACGGCCCCGAGACGCAATCGTGTAATACTTCGTTTCGACAGATATCCGTCGTTTAAACGATAAAGAAACGGAAAATATTTTCATTACGAAAAATGCCACACAGTATGAAAATCCGGCAGAAAAGCTCTCCGTGTCATCGAATTGGTCATTTTTATAAACTTTTTCGATTGGTTGATCCTTCGAGTTGAGAAGGATCGATCATTTCGATTGGTTGATCCTTCCAGTTGAGAAGGATCGATCATTTCGATTGGTCGATCCTTCTCAACTCCGCTTTCTGATTAATAGTCCCTCGTTACCTAGTGTAACGTATCGTAACTCTTGAGTAAACGTCGCTTGTCCATTCGATCCCAATTGAAGGTTGTTGATCTTGAGACTTTCATCATGCTATTGTTTTGATTCTGGAAGTTCACTTTTTTAAGAATTAGTTTTAAACATGCTCTTTTATAAAAATAAATTTTTATCTTTCTTCTCTTATCGGTTTTACAAAATAAAATAATTTTCGTCTTTCTTCCTTTCCTTAACAAAAAAATCAAAATTTATTTATGAATATAGTATCCGTTCACTTTCGGATTTTCACACACACCATAGACGAGGTGCACGTGACGTCACACCACTTGGCTTACGAAGCGCGCGCCATATTGGTTGCTGTTGGTTTGGTTGTCGACCTCGATATTGTCATCTAACTGATATTTTTTCAGTTTTAATTTTAATTTATTATAGTTCATTACACTACCAATTGAACTGCTTACAGTTAAGACTAAAGTTTCTGTAACAAACAATTAAAAAAATTGTCACAATTTCTTGTGCTCTAATAAACTTATCAAACAATGTAGTTCCATTTAATTAATATAATTTTAATTTGTTATAAAACAATTTGTTATTTGGGGGTGGAAATCTTTTGTCAACTGAAGTTTCAATAATATGTAAAATAAATGAATAAATTTTGATTATTAGTCAAATGAATTACAATATTTATTCAATACTGTAAACAGTGTTGCCGCAATGAAATTTCAAAACGTACTGAAGCGCCTTCAAAAATCTACTATTTTCCTCAAAATGTACTAGTTCTTTGTTCACGTGTCTATATATATATATATATAGGCATGTAATTTTTATATATATAGTTTAATGTCAAATAATTTAATTTTAAATCTTATTTTTGGAATTTTTTGAAAGCTATTTAAAATTAGAAATATATCTACACATCTATTATTTATAATAAAATGAGCATTACATTGACAACATTTATTAATAATACTATTGAATTTCATCTTAATTTTATAACCAATCGTTCTTTAAAAACATAATTATAAATTTGTTATATTATATTATTTTATTCTTTATTATACTTTAAATTTTTTTGATGTTATTGCATCACTTTACGAAGTGGTATATACGTAATTGCATCAGTTTTAGTACCTATTTAATTAATTTCAATCATGACAGCAAAAGATAAGGATGCTTGTTTCTTTTAAACTATTTGATGAAAACGTTACATAAAATTGGGGTTGCATAATCATCCGAAATTATTATTATATTTTTGACTGGAAATTACAGGATTTATGCAATTTTAGTTTAATTAATGTCATATAAAACTGACTGCTCGTACAAGTTTGCTTAAAACATGCAACTCAAAAAACCCCAAAATGGCAGCTCAAGAAGTAGATCACGCGTGTCCTGATCTTCTTATATAGACCTTGGAACAGTCGGAAGCGCGGCCATTTTGGAACCATACGTAACATTAACCCTTATTTCTTTTACTACGATTACTAAAATTGAAGTTCATAATTTAAGAATTAAATTATAGTGGTAGAAAATAATATAAAAGTATTTATATTATTTATACTCGTACAATTTCAAAACTATTTTCTGTAATAATTTGTTTCTGACTTAACGGATATTTTGATATTATTGACGACAAAAGTTTAAAATCATTGATTTCCTTACCTGTCCATTATTTTTGTTTGACGGAGTTGAATTGTTTGGACCACGTGGCATGAAAAATTTTGTCAAGGTCCTGATGAGAATGTGCAGACAACTGAACGTATCAAAGACCACTGATTCAAGACCATTTACACGTGCAACTATCTATGTTGCTGACGTCGACGGACACACACCATTTGTATGTAGTGATTGGATAATTTCAATTAGCAAGCAGTGACACTAGTGAGACTTTATTAAACTAATTTTTCTCATTTTTTCGTTAAGGCGCGAAATATGATTTTGTACCGTAAATGGTACTTGAAATATTATAATGTACTGAAAATGATACTTGAAATATTATAATGTACTGAAAATGTACTAAAAATCTAAATGTACTTTCAATTTACTGGAAAGGGCAAAATGTACCAGAAAAGTACAAATGTAGTAGGAACGGCAACACTGACTGTAAAACTTTCGGGAGTTTTCATTTTTTGCTTAAAAGTGGCAATTTTTACTTCAAACTAAACAATTTGCTGTACAGTATAGAATTTTATTCTATGAAATTTATACATTTTCCGAATCTTTTCCTGGGAGTAGAGCTGGCTGGGAAGAAATTTTTTTTTTTTACAATTAGCTCTGGTAAAATACAATGGAAACTGGAGGAATCTCTATATCTGCTCTACACACATATTTCATAACAGAAGCAGTTATTCTACCTGATCTATGCACAAACCACTGCTTGCTTCTACTTTGTTCTAGTGTGTTTTCTTTAATAAAATAATTTTTTTCATGTGTAAGATGCAAAGTGCAGTGATTTAACAGCTGACCCTAGGGTAAGGCAGCTTTTTTGGCATCAAATAGAGTTGTAAGTGGATTCTTATGGAAAAATGAATTGACATGGTTCGTAAAAGAATTAGAGTAACCTGGCGTCACTGACAAAATTGCAGCAGTTGGATTATGAACAGAAATTTTTTTAAAAAACTGTTCAAATTCTCTCTTACTAGGCTTGTTTATACAAGTATTCCAAGTTTTATCACTTGACAAATAAGGTTTTTGTATGTTTTTCACTTCAAGGCATTGCCGTTTGCATGAAGTTGCACCTGACGTAAAGTTTATTTTTCGTAGTGGTTTGTAACCACAATCTTTTACATGTGTCACAATCCAATTATTTGGTCGGTCAGTACATATCTGGGAGCTCCTTATTTTAATTTCTTCTGCAATGGCAAAAAGAATAGCACCAACATGAGAACAGGAGGAAGATTGTCCAGCCATGCAATTGCAATGCCCAGTTATCACCTCTCCATTTTTCTTAGCTAAAACCCACACTACTAAAGCTGGCTGCCGTAAATTTTGTGAGTGATTAAGCTGTGTACAAAAAGAATGTCAGAAACTGTGCTGTTTAGTTCTAATAATATATATAAACAATAATAGGTTATTAAGTCACGTTTCTAGCCCACAACATAAATTAAGATTAAAGTAATTAGCCTAATAAACCATCCAATTTGTTATAGCCACATTTATCATATCAGGGACTGACTGGAGCAAAATAGACTAAATTGTTACAAAAAATAGCCTTTACTTAACCACTATGAAATTTTTGTAGAATGCATTTCAAGCATTTCTGTATGGATTTGTTAGGCTGTTGTGGGGTCTTTGTGACTGAAATATGCTGATGAGATGGTTAAAATGCATTCTACTAAAAATTTGATTGTGGTTAAGTAAAGGCTATTTTTTGTAAAAATTTAGTTTATTTTGCTCCAGTCAGTCCCTGATATGATATATATATAGCAATAATAAATAGGAGAGTTTATTAGGCTAATTAATTTAATCTTAATAATAGGTTTTTGGACTTGCACAACGCAAAACTACGGGGAACAAAAGAAAAAAAATTGATGGTAATTTTAAATACAACTTAATCAACTTAAAATGTAACTAAATATAAAATTAAATTCATCTTTACATAACGCAGTTTATGTTATGAGAAATGGAAAGTCTCAAATAAAGATACGTACCTTTCCTACAAGCAAAATTAAATCATTACGTACGGATCTCGATAAAATTTCACGATGAATAAATATGCTTGTCAAATAATTATAAGCATCAAGTGATTTGTATGCCTTCATCTGATCTACTGTGACAGTGATAGTTGTTAAAACCAAATAATTTACTATGTCTCCATGCTCTATAGTGGGCCACGTGCTCGAATCGTTAGATGAAAAATTCGTTGATTTCATTTCGTATGGATCCCATCCAATATAAGAAATTTTCTCTTTATATTCTATTAAATCATTATGTTTTAAATCAGCTGCATAGCTAGGTAAGATGCCTTTCTTCCTATTATCCGCTTATTATGTCAATGTGGAGGAAAACATTGACATAATAAGCGAACGAGCAAGGTAACGTCAAATCAGCAACCAATATGGCGGCTGATTGTTTTAATGGGCGGAGCGATGACGTTATATCACGTGACTGCACCCCCTGTATATTCTAAAAGTGAGTTTATTTTATTCTTTTCAAAAAACTGCTCACACTGAAATCCGTGGTTGCAGAAGAAATGTTACTACGAATTTTCGTATCTTCCCAATCACTGACAGGTGGCCAAACACGATGTAATTGGACTACTAAGTGAACAACAAATTCGTTCGAATGTGAAAATAACAAACTGTGTGTAATTCGACAAAATTCATAAAAGTTCATTTTGTGGTAACAAGTGTAGCATAGATTGATAATTTATTATGAATAATAAATAAGCTTAACACGTAATTGAATTTGATAATTTAAAATTAGTAATTACTATAAAGTATGAAAGATTTTGGTGGGTCTGTGTAATTTCACAGACTCATTTAAATCTGCTCATGATTTTTCTTCTGGCTTTGGCCGACAGGCTCATGGCATTTCGCAAAGTGGTCGGCCAAATCCCAAACTCAACAAAAGGTAGGGCATTGGTCAGTCAATTTACAGCGACTGTGGCTATTTTTCAATTTGGCAGGACACTTTCTACTTTGGCCGTAACAGATAGAAATATAGATAAAAATTATATTATATTATACATAGTATTATATTACATTTGTCGGCATTTTTCTGCATAAAATAAAGCAAAAAAGATAGAAAAACGCTTTATTTACAAAATAATTTATTAATATTGTTTCTATGGAAAAATTTGAAATGTACCAACCGGGTCGTATGGATAAAATCATTAATCGCTAGTAGTTTGTCTTAGGTTTGTCTCTTGCCAATGGGAATGAAGGGGATGTAAGTTGTCATACACTACATGAAATTCCAGAAATTCCATGTAATAGAGATAAGGGGGAGGAAAATGTAGTTGTCAAAACAAACGCAACGCGAAGATAAACGACGTGATGGATCATAGAGGATTCTTGACCCTGAGAGATGGAACTTTGAAACAAGCACTTGTATATAATTGATTTAAGTTAGAAAATTGGGAAAAGGGAAAGAAAAAAAATTGATAGTTAAAGGTCATCGTGGTAGATCGTTGAAATCCTAAAACATCAGAAGAGAGGCATTAATGGAGTGAAATACTAGGGGGTCTAAAAGTTTCATCATCACTTCCAGGTCAGAGTCAAAGGATGGTGTCAAGTATAGTCTTCGAAAGGACACTTTTTCAAGACCCGAACCTGTCTCGGTTTTCACCTAGAGACTGGGGAATGGATCTATTGCGAAGCGAAATAAGTTAAGTTGGACCAATCAGTAAGATAGATTCACAGATACAAGGTATAAATTCTCCGAACTTCAAGGTCAAGTGTGCAAATCCTCGGTATAGTATCTACCTATCTGGACCTTGTGCCTCTGCGTAAACCAAAATGCAAGCACAACATCTGTAGATTTAAACTGCACTATCCTCTTAAACCCATTGACAATCAACTCTGAATTTAGACCACCTGCCGGTTGTTTTCGTGGATACTGCTTTAGGCGTTGCCTTTGCATCTACATTTTCTAGTTTCCAGGAAAAGACCACCAATGTACCATATAGGTAATGTACAATCATATAAGAAATCTTTTTCATGATAAACGAAATTTATGTTAAACACTTGTTTTCATCGCGTCCTAAGCACCACCCATATACATGAACATTCAGATCCTACTGAAACGAAACTAACGTTTCCACTGACAGTCGACAAATAAACAGTTGTTTCATTTTGAAAACTATAAAACGTATATAAAATCATACGTATTTGTTACAATCTATATCTAAATTTATATATATATATATATATATATAAATGGACGTGTGTGTCCCTATATTTCACTTTTCCGCAAAAACTACACATCGCACATGAATGCTGTTTGTATGTGGTGGTAGCCTCAAGTCTCCATTCGTGCACTATGGTGGTTGCGTCTCGATAGCTATAAGGGTGCGGGAGATATGGGGCTGAAAGTGGTTGAAAGTGGTTTTCTATTTCGAATGTTATGTTCGAATTTGTTCAAATTTGTTTGAATTCAATTCGAACAATGCTCGAATTTAAATTCGAACATAAAGTTCGAATATAGGTTCAATTACAGAACGATTGTAAACGTTCCAGAAACGTTGAAAAGAGTTCGTTTGACAAAACGTGAACTGGAGACGTTGAGAAATAGAATCGGGACCAGGTCTCTAATTAGTCTGGAAACGGGTTACCTAATTCTTGCATTCTGTGAAAACGGGTAAAATTGGCTATAATGTAATTATCTTAATCTTCACTATCGTTACTTTTTGCCCACAAATAAAAACCCAGCGAAGGGGGTCCTTGCAGCTAGTATATATATATATATATATATACTAGCTGCAAGGACCCGTCCATTTATATATATATATATGGACGTGTTTGTGCCTATATTTCACTCTTTAGCCAAAACTACACATCGCACACGAATTGTGTTTTTGTGTGCTAGTAGCCCCAAGTCTCCCATCGTGCACTATGGTGGTTGCGTCTCGATAGCTATAAGGGTGTGGGAGATTTGAGGGTTGAAATTGGTTGACTTCGAAAATGGGTAAGAACGGAAGTGTCCACAATGGAAGTGTTAACAATGAAGATGTCAACAATGGAAGTGTTAACAATAAAATGTTGAGTAACAAAGGAAGTGTTAATATAAAGCGGCGTGCACGATTTACAGGCGCAGATGCGGTTTTTTTGCGTTTTGCGGGAAATCGAACATATTTTTAGACCTATGTAAAAATTCTCTAATTAGTCTGGAAATGGGGGACCTATTTCTTGCATTCTGTGGAAACGGGTAAGTTTGGCTATAATGCAATCTTAATCTTAATTTGATATATGATATGAATTTCATATATGAAATAGACTTATACTGTCTATGCGAAACGTTGCATACATCTTCGGTAAATAAATCAATGTTTATCATGAATAAAACATTTATTAGATAGTATTTAGCTATAATGGACTTCAAAGACAAAAAGGTAACTTTATTGTCAGCCTTAGATTAGATACCTCTCTTAATGATAAAATGACATTTAAGTTTAACTTCTTACTGATTATGTGAGATTAGTTAGAGGCCAAAAGGAGATCCCTAGTGTATACTTACTATGCAACAGGTCTGTAAGTGGTAACTAGGTTACTAGTTTGGTAAGTAGTCACGTCTCTCTTTGTCACTGGATGGCTATTTGATAAATTGTCAGCAGGATTGCAAGATCCGGCCTATGTCAGGATGCTGACACCAGTTCGGATAAAGTTAAACGCATCCTAACCTGCGAATTGTAACAAAGGTTGAATAAGAGGGTCTGAATTATTGAGTAGAGAGGACAATGAGGAAGTCAATAAGCGTCCAAGGTTTGATAGAAACAGGTAGTCAGGTTAACGAATAAAAATATATGTTTAATATAAATGTCCAAATTTAACAGTACGCACAGACACGGTATACATCTAAAGCAATATGACAAAATATCTATGCGCTCCGTTTCCGTTTTATCCACATTCACTCCTGAAAGAGAGAGTTTACAAAAATACGTCAGAGAGTAATGTGGTTCTCTGTTTTTGAGGAGGTTGAGCCGTGATGGATGTCTTCCTTTCTTTGAACGTGATTGGAGCTATTGTCTTTTATTGTCTTCGCATTAGGCTGTTCCAGATATGACCGGACGAAAGTCTTCTCCGTTGTTCGTGAATCCGACTTGTGATCGTTGTTCTGGGGATAGCTGCGAAAAGCTGGGTCAGCCACCCAGCTTTTCGCAGCTATCCCCAGAACAACGATCACAAGACGGAGGTATCGCCCATATATGGCTCCAGATAAAATCCACCCCGACTTGAGTTCTTGCCTCCCTTTAGCTTGAGAAAGACAGTCAGGTGACCGAGAGTTTGGCAATGGATCTGCAGGTGAGTCGTCAGAAGTGAGCCTTTGATAACGTAAAACTATCGTTATATGGAGCTGTCATCACTATATTTTGTTCGAGACTTGTACGCTTTCTTCTATTCATACGTCAACAATCGACTTTCTCCTTCTTTAACACGAGGTTGTTTATGGTTTTTACTCGGATGTTATATTTTTATAGGCTTCAAATTCTTGCTAATTTTACGCAAAATCCCGCCTCACTTTTAATAATTGTAGGCTATAACCGGATACTAAAAAATTAGAACGTGTATTAAAAAAAATTCAAGGTTAGAAATCTTGAATTTGAAATTTTGTTATTCGAACCGGAGCACCACAATCACTATCGACGCATTTCATGCAAATTTTACAATAATCAAAATCGCGCGAAAAATCAACGAATAAGTAATATTAGTATGAAAAACGTACTTTTACAGAGCAACGATGCAATATTGTATATAATATACAAGAGAACTAAATATACAAATAAATTGCACTGTAGTTAATAATACTTGTACAGTTTTTATTAGATATTTATCAATATTTGAAAATTTTAATAAAACCAAGTGGAAAGACAATATTGCTGAAATACGCTACTAAACAAAGGTTTCAAAATTACGAATAAATTAATTACTATGTTACCCCAAATTATTGAATAAACCTGAGCTCCACAGATTTAAATAAGTAATCCTCACTGTTTATAGAACCAATATTATTTGAAAAGTTTGAGGTTTGAAAAATTTTGAAGCATTAAGCTTATATTATATTGAATATAAGTATTTTTTCTTTAGAAGTAACTGCCTTTTAAATTTTTTAAAAATATTTTTTATTTAGGAAAATTTAAAACAATAAAATATTTTAAAATCCTGTTCTAAAATATTGAATTTATATTTATATATATATTGAAGACACAATTAAATTGTTTCCGACACCTATGCCTATTTCTACTTACTGTACTGTACATTAATAACAAAGCATGTGCTGTATAATTCTGTCTTGTAAATGTAAACCAAATTAAAGAAAATATTTGTAATATAAAGTTGCCAGATTCACAACGATTGATAACTGATTCGCATAACGCTAATGTTGCCAAATACAGTATTAGTATTGACATATAGAAGGATTGACCGTTCGATCAGGAATGGAAAAAGGAAAGGGTTTGTAGAAAAATCACTTTACGGTCTTTCTTAGAGCACAGTTTCCTTTACTTGGAGATGGGCGGGAGTGTCTGTAGAATCTGCCAGTTCCGGATGCTGATCTCAACGGTCGGATGGCTGCTGTCCTAATATAGACGTAATTATGCACACAATACCTTTCAAGTGAACTTTAGCTATCTTCTAACTTTGTTAAGAGTTGAAAGACCTTGAAAAATTGTTTCGGGATCTTCGTTCCTTTGCTTTTAAGGGGTTCGTCCGATCCGATCTATAGTAGGTTAGTAGCTCGCATTCAGGTCCATCTCAGACGGGATCCCGCTATGCTTACCCCCTCTGGACAAACCACACTGCCCGAGCGAAAGACAAAATCTCTTTGTTTTTGCCAACCGTTAGGCCTATACGACATTAGTGTAGTGTACATAATGGCTACATATTTTCAGATCCTTAAAATATATCAAAAATTGCTAAAATTTATTTTTTTAGCTACTGTCCCAATTAAGCGATTAAATTATGTATTAATTTATTAGTTTAGTTTCTGTTCTTTGAAATATGGCCCAATAAAATGGCTGCCCAATTAACCGGTGGCCCAATTAAACAAAATCGACTGTATTATATTTTTATGTTTAGTAAAGATGTTAAATTTTCGTAGAAATAAATTACATCCAATTGAAGAGGAGATTAAAAGAAGCAAAATACATATTGGAAAAAATAAAATAAAATAAATGGAATTTTGCTAGTTATTTCCTCTGTTTCAGGTTTAATAAATTTATATCATATCTTTTTTCGAAAAATTAGGATTTAGAGCAGTCAACAAAAAATATATAAGAAACAATAAAAAAAAGAACAATATTTACGTAAATGCTATTTCCGTACGTCTGAATATATAGTACTTTACTTAAAATATAAATAAGTTTAAAATGTTTACTTCAAAATACATTCACAAACGAGTTGCTGACAAACTGTCATATAAGAATAAATAGTTAATCATATTCCAGAAAAAATATTTCTGAGCAGAAGTTCTTATCGTTGTTATATGAAATGTCACAGTAAACATTTGCATCAAAAAATCATAAAATCAATAAATAAGTAAATAATAAAAATCTGACATACTTATTGGTGTCAAATACACTTAAATTGAAAACTCAAATGATTTTTTTTTTTATGATTTAGAATCTTTATGACTCTTCAAATGATTTATAAGATATATTTTATGTAGCAAAATTGCAACACGGCAGAAAGTGCCAAAATGATAACGATTGTGAATTGAATTATTATTGAAACCAGCTTACATTAAAGTCTACGAAAACTTTTTATTTTAGATTTAGATTGGTGTTCAACCATTTTTTTCGCACAGTTTTAGTTTGCTACATCTGGAAGTATTGTTTCGCTAGAAATTACTTAGTTTTGTAAATACGTTGAATGCAAACTGTAGCAAAATTTTCACAGATACATATGAAAATTATATATGAATATATTTATGTAACATGAAACGAACAACAAGGACTATTTTTAGTTTCATTAAGAATAATTGCATTTTTCATCGTAAAGCTTTTAAAATATTTTATAAAATGGATCTCATTGCCAACGATCTCGTTTTAGTATAGTAACGCAATTACAATGTCAACAAATATTTATAAAGTCTTTTCGCTTGGTAAACAGGTGAATACATTTTACTTAGTATTGTAAATTCATTATAATATAATGAAATCATGGAGTGTAAGTATATAATGTATAAGGAGTATGCATTATCTATGTAAACACACTTATATTATAAGTGTGTTTACATAGATGACGCATATTCCATATTACAGTATAAAAAGCAATTTAAATTTTAACGACTCTATTCGAAGAGTGAAACTACAAGCGATCTAATATCATTATATAACCTGCAAATTTGAGTAGTTTCTTCTTTATATTTTTTCTTTATATAAGTTTCACAGATTCAAGACAGCAGCGTCATGAATTCGAATAAAAAAGAAAAAGTTTGCATGAATTGTTTTCTTGCACCCTGTTGGTCAATGGCCCTCATTTATGGTTTGGATCCTTTGCAGAATTGTTCCTGTAAACATCCAATTTGTGAAATTAAATATCCGAAACTAAGAAAGATATATATTCAATTTCTTCAATTTATATTCTGGCAATCTACTGCTACTTTATTATGGCAGTCGATACCAGTTTTAGGCGAATCTGCAGTATGTACTGGATGGTATAATGTATTCAAAACTGATGTTCAAATAATGAGATCATTTCTTTTAGCATTGTTGTTGCTTTATTCAATCACTCTAACTTTTATAAGCCGTAACAAGGTCAATCTGAGTAAAGAACTAAAAAACAAATACTTTTATGAAAAAATGATTCTTGAGAATAATTCTCTAATGAGAAACATCTCTCTTGTTTTTTCGTTAATTATCGTTTTAGTAATTATTTGTTTTCAAGTTGTTCATATGACTGTTTTCTATCCTGCTTTTGCAAACAAAGAACAGTCTCAATTTGAAGCTTTTCTTTGCCCCATCGGGCCTGAAGTGGTGATATGTTTATTAATAGGAGGAATAGCTTACGCCCTACTTTTAGTCGCATTATCATTATTTGTTTTTTATAAAGAATTTGAAGAAATGTATCTCGAAACGGCTACAATAAAAAGAAACGATATAGATCTGAAAATGAAGTTACAAAATTTGATGAACAATCATCAAAAATTGTGGATTTGTATAAATCAGTTAAACACAACATATGAAATGGCTTTCGTAATCATTTATTTCGGAATAATTTGGGCAACGAGCTTTTGGTACTACGCATATTTTTATCTCGAAATGCCAGAGTTTTTTAGAATTTGGGTTTTGATGGTTATGATTATTTTATCCTTTACCTGTATTATATGTGGCTGTTTGCTGTGCTGCATCGCTTTCACGGTATTTTTTATTACGTTTAATTACTTTTTATTCTTGAATATCACTGATTAATTTAATTTTAACTTTTCAGATGGAAAATGGATTTCAAGACATTCGGCAATTTGGAATCTGCAATTTAGGAGTGTGTCAAAAGCTAAAAGTAGAAATATATTATTATTTTATTCTTGTTATAAATGACTTTTTGTATAATAAATTTAATATTAATTATTAATCTTTTGTCAGATATTGGATTTCATGAAAAGATTTGGAAAAGTTTCATTGTGTCTTTGGATTGGAGGTTTCTTCTGCATCAACAAGAGAATTCCTTTCAAGGTAATTTTACTAATGGAGAACTTTTAATATTGTATTTAGGCGGTAATTAAATAATGCGTGTTTATCAAAATTCGAAAATAACAGAATGATAAATTGGCATGGAAAATAGATGATCCATTAGTAGTGGAGATTTTTTAAAATTACTTTCCTGTTGACCTCTTTCTCGTTATAGATCTGGTCAGAATAGTTCTAACAAAGTTTTGCCTTTTTCTTCTCTGTATAGAAGGCATTAATTACGGTAAATTTAATCGTTCAGAATTATCCATATTGCATAGTTAGGCTTTTTGATCATTATTAATGAAACATTCACGTACGATATCTCATTCAGGCCATACTAACATTTTGAAAATTGGTTGCATTGAGTATATTGAAGAATAACTATTACTATCTTGTTAAACTATTTCGTTGATGAACCTACTTTGGAAGGCATTCGCATTTTCACAAGAATATTTCTTTGCAATTTGCTGCAAGAATTCTTGTTATAATCTCACACACTTGTAAACAAATTTTATGCGAAATTGAAATTAAGTGAGACTCAAAGTACTCGTGATAAATCTTTTATATATTATTGATTAAAACACAACACTCCAACTAAAGAGGGGGGAAAACCCGAAATGTACTGTATATAATGGAGTTGGAATTTAATAAATAAAAAGAAAAAGGTCCAATTCAAGTTTCCTAAAAAAAAATGTGATCTGATAAGTCCTAAACTAATAGCCAAATACGTAGCTATATAAGAAAATAGAAATAGATGTTAGAAAAGAATTAAAACTTCATTTTAATAGTTTAAACAAAATCTAACGTATTTAGAAATAAATAATTAATTAGAATAAAAAAAACAGTAAAAAGTGATCCACATGATCGTTTTCGTTGTTTAAATTGTACTATTTACGTGGCAAATGAATTTTTTTTATTGATACTTAAACAATACACTATATCAAGGGTGGGCAACTTTTTTTATAACATGGGCCAGAATAAATTTTACGTTTTTTCCACGGGCCATAGTAGCTAATTGACACCTTGTGACCTGTAAATTTTTAGTTTGCAAATATGAAATAAATAAATAAAAAGAAATTAATTACTACAGTCGACCCCCCTATAACACTGTTGATTATTCCGTTTTATATGAATTCCTTGTTGTATGAGTCACTTAGATTTTACAAATGCGTGTGCCAAACTGTGAACGGCTCACCTATTTGTAAAATCTAAGTGACTTTAA